GAGAGAGAGAGAGAGAGAGAGAGAGAGAGAGAGAGAGAGAGAGAGAGAGAGAGAGAGAGAGAGAGGATGTGTTGCTGGCTGAGCGGCTGTGACCTGGGACGAGTAAGTTGCCACTTGCTTCGGAGTGAAACGAAGTGGCAGAGGACCGATGATGGTCGTCATGCATTATAGAAAGGTGCCATTGCACGGGCGAGGCAAAGTTGGTCCACGTGGCCTTATAAATCCCCATTCCAGCTTGAAAAACAAATATGTGGCTCGTATACGGCCTCAACTTTCGGGGGGGGTGCCGATTCGTTTTTATTTGGCGCGCAGTGCATTTTCAGGCTTCGCTTCAATGGCTGGCCGAGGTACTGGCTGGTGGTTCAGACAAAAGAGCATCATACTTTGTCCTTCGGGACATCACAGCCGTTAAAATTGGAACGATAGAGAGAAAGAGAAGGAGAAGGAGAAGATTGATTAGCATGGCCCCTGCGCGCAAGTATGACGCGGGTAAATCGAGAAACGGTCCAATTTTTTTTTTTTAATAAAAAAAGAACATCGCACCTTATGCGCGATTAGATTGGATGAAATAGAACACTGTAGCGCAAGGACAAAATAGAAAAAAATAAAAAAAATAAAAAAATGGAACACTGTAGTCGTTGAGTGACAATGTGTTCTCGCACTTCTTGTCCAGCAATCCTACGGCCCAGATGTGCAGATTATTTATCAGTGAGTGATTTTACTAGCTGGTCAGGTTTACCATCCAGCAAAAAAACGTTTTTGGGTGGGCTCTTTTCATCCATGCAAAAAACGATACAGAGAAAAACGTTTTTCTTGTTTTTTACCGTCTTCTTTGGAGATTGAAACTATTTCTCTTGGTTTATTTACCCTCATGTTTTTTTTCCCTCTCGTCTTTCTTCTTGCCCATGTCAGCTATTGGTCTGCGCAGACGAAAAAGCTCTCTGCCACACCTTGGTCAGAGATGGCAGCACTCCAGATATCGGCCCGGTACCATATCTTGTGGGGCTTAGATGGGAAGATGTCTGGGGGTGTGAGACGAAGCGGATGCGCTACTGCAGGGACACTTGTCGAACTTCATCCATGGAACGCGGTCGACACCTTAACAGGTGCTTTGCTGGAAGCAGGGGGTGGTCTACCAAGCGTAGTGGTTGGTAATCTCTCTCTCTCGCGCGCGCGCGCGCGCGCCCTCTCTCGCTTTCTCCGTCTCTCTCGGGATGTCAGTTCCCTTCTTGCTCTCTCTTTTTCTCTCTCGCGCGCGCGATCTCTCTCGCTTTCTCCGTCTCTCTCGGTATGTCAGTTTCCTTCTCTCTCTCTCTCTCTCTCTCTCTTGCTCCTCTGTCGCTTCCTCTCTCTTACTCTCTCTTTTTAAGGTTCAGTAGTATCTTTGTAGATGATTGGATATGATGATGATGATGTGTGTGTGTGTGTGTGTTGCAAATGTGTGTATGTGTGTGGTGGGGGAGTGGGAAGGGAGAGGTGGTTGTTGTATGGATTGTGTTTTGCTGTCGATTAAGGTCGGGTAGCAAGAGAGAGAGAGAGAGAGAGAGAGAGAGAGAGAGAGAGAGAGAGAGAGAGAGAGAGAGAGAGAGAGAGAGCGGGTACAATAGCGCAGAAAGGCATTTGTGCCATTTGAGTTTCTGACTCCTTAAGCCCATTGGGACCCCCGTTGCACCATTGTGATCTGGATGGCTGGATCATTGGTACCCCGTTGCACCCTTGATGTTTCCGTTCAGAGCTCATGACATTTCTCACTTTGGCCATTGAATGTTATTGGCCGTTATTTTTGTCTGAATTCAGAATGGATCACATGCACGTGCCTTATGATTATCGGACGAGAAATGTGATTTTCAGTGTATTCATGACCTCTGGGCATTCTATTTAGGGTTCAGGGTTCAGGGGTTAGGGGTTAGGGGTTAAGGTGTATGCTATCGCAGAGGTATTATTGCCAGATGTAGCTTAATACTTGCTGGCTTGTGTGTGTCCTTTCCTTACTACAGTCCACTACCTTCCGTACATTGGCCTTTCCTGACTACATTCACTATGTTCCGTCCTTTCCTTACCGTCTTCCACTATCTTCTGTTCTCTCCCTACTACCCTTCCACTACCTTTTGACTTACCTCCAATCCTGCTTTTGTGAGAGTGCGTTATAAAACCATGGCCCATGATGGCCTTGAATTGAAATTGATGACTAGGACAGGATCAATCAAGTCCATCTTCCCCTTGTGTGCGAACGGGCCTTGGATCGGCAACTGCCAGGGACCAATCAAGTCAATTTTCCCATCTTCAGATCCTTATCATTTTCTCATTGCTGTCCTCTTTTACATAGGTTATTTCAACTCCGTCCCTGCCCTCCCCGTCCCCTTCTCCTCCTC